CTGCTGCTGCTGCAGCTGCTGCACATCCCCGCTGCTGCTGTCTCGCTGCAGCAGGAAGTAGGCGTTACCCCTGTGTGGGGCGTTCCACGGGCGCTGCACACAAAGCCAGCAGCAGCAGCAGCAGCAGCAGCAGCTGAGCCGCAGCAGCAGCAGACTGCTGCTTTCCTTGTTGCTGCCCCCACACAACTGAGGAGCAGCGTGAAGCTGCAGCGAGGCAGCATCCAGCAGCACGACGTAGCAGCAGCAACATCGGGAGCCCCAGCGCCAGCAGCAGCAGCAACAGCAGCAACAACAGCAGCAGCAACAACAGCTAGAAGACAAACTCGTCTGTTCGGGAACTGCTGCTTCGCAGGCGGTGACGTTCGGTCGGTTAGCTGCAGCAACAGCAGCAGCAGCAGCAGCAGCAGCACGAACGAACCAGCCGCATCCTCCCCTTCCTCCGCAGCTGCTGCAGCAGCAGCAGCAGGAGGTGAAGATACACCTAAAGTGCCGCGTGTGGGGCCCTCTACTGCCGGCCCTAGGCCTGACTGGTTTCACGTCCCTGCCCCCAGGGGCCCTGGGTCGCGCTACGCGCTGCTGCAGCAGCAGATTCGCGGTTTGAAGCTGCATACAGTAAACCCTAAACCCTAAACCCTAAACCCTATATTGTATACACAATATTAATAATGCTTTCATATTGAAGCAGGTGGTTGGAGCTCTGAGGCGACCCCCTGGGAGCCGTTCAGCTCGCTGTCCTTGCACCCCAGGACCTAGGGTTTAGGGTTTAGGGTTTAGGGTTTAGGGTTTAGGGTTTGTGATTAGGTTTGCGAAGAAGCTAAATGCCCCAACATCGGCGAATGCTGGGAAGGAGGCACTGCGACTTTGATGCTGTTGGGCGACACCTGCACCCGGGGCTGTCGGTACACCTCAAACCCTAAACCCTAAACCCTAAACCCTAGGCTCCAGACTCTAAACCCTAACAAGACGCGACAGCTTCTCTTAGCGTATTTTCTCTTCCTGCTTTAAAATCGGGGGTTTGGGGTTTTGCTTGAGGGTTTGGTCTGTAGGAGTTAGCGGTCCTCAACTGCTCTGATAAGCAAATCAGGGTTTAGGGTTTAGGGTTTAGGGTTTAGGGTTTGCGAGCAGGTTTTGTGCAATAAAGACGGCAGCTAAACCCCCGCCTCCCGATCCCCTTGAACCCCAAAAAGTAGCAGAGGCTGTCGCTCAGTGGGACATCGATTACGTCGTGCTTACCAGTGTAGACAGGTAAACCCTAAACCCTAAACCCTAAACCCTAAACCCTGAGCGCTAGTTCATCGCGCAAGCCACACGGTAGCCGCAGATAGCCGCAAACCCTTTCACTGCCTCTCGGCTCTATTTATAAACGCTAGCTGAAATGGAGCAGCTCTAGGGTTTAGGGTTTAGGGTTTAGGGTTTAAGGTTTAGGGTTTAGGGTTTAGGGTTTAGGGTTTGGGGTTTAGGGATGACATGCCGGATGGGGGAGCCGCCCACTTTGCGGAGACAGTGAAGTTAATCAAAGCGAAGAAACCCTCAATTCTTGTCGAATGCCTCGTCTCAGACTTCCAGGGCATGCGCTCAGTATCTAAACCCTAAACCCTAAACCCTAGAGCCAGCCTGCAGCTTTGTGTCTGCTGCTCTGAGCGCAGTGCAGCGCAAACTGCATGCCCTTTTCCTTGCTAAACCCTAAACCATAATGCCTGCTAAACCCTAAACCCTTGTCCCTGCTAAAGCCTAAACCCTAATCCCAGCTAAACCCTAAACCCTAAACCCTAATCTCTGATAAACCCTAGACCCTACGAAACTAGAGGCTGTAGATGCGAATATATGAAATCTCTGTGGGGTGCAGCAAAACCGTAAACTAAACCCTAAACCCTAAACCCTAAACCCTAACCCGTCTACAAAGGGTGTGATGTGCACTTCACTTGTATGGCCCGTATCCGCGCAAAAGCATAAACCCTAAACCCTAAACCCTAAACCCTAGAGCATAATATGTTGTATGATGTTCGTTTGCTTTGTTTGCGTTTCAGTCTGTGTCTACAGTTGTACATAGCGGGCTGGATGTGTATGCTCACAACGTGGAGACAGTTCCTAGGCTGTCTCCTTTTGTAAGAGATAGGCGGGCTTCATTTGATCAATCTTTAAAAGTATTAAGACATGCAAAGTGTGAGAAAGAAGATATATTTACAAAGACTTCGCTAATGCTAGGTCTAGGAGAAACCCCTGAAGAAGTACTTCAAGCCATGCAACGAATAAGAGAAGAAGCAGACGTAGATGCACTTACACTCGGCCAGTACTTAAGGCCTTCAAAGCAGCAGCTAGGGGTTGTTAGCTTTATAACCCCACAACAATTTGAGGTGTATAGGCAGCAAGCTCTTGATCTAGGCTTCAAATATGTTGCTGCAGGACCCCTTACTCGCAGCAGCTATAAAGCAGGTGAATATTATATTAAATCCCTATTAAAAAAAGATAAAGCAAAGCTGAAAGCATCAATAGGCTCTCTTGATGCTGCTCCGCAACCAATAGACACACCAGCAACGAAATAAAGTGGCTGCTGCTGCTGCTGCTGCTGCTGCTGCTGCTGCTGCGGTGGCGGGGAAGTGGGGGATGCAGCAGCGCATGTAGTGCTGTTGCGGGGGAAGCAGCAGCACTACTAGGAAGCAGCAGCAGCAGCAAATCTAATTATGCAGCTTGCTTGGTTGCAGCTGCTGCTGCTGTAGCTTAAAGGCATCGAAGCATATGTGGGCAGCAACGCGGTGTACGTGCTGCTGCTCTTCATCCGGGGCTCTCTGCTGCAGCTTGCTGCAGCAAGGAAAGCGCAGCACGAATAAAGCAGCAGGAGCAGCTGCAGCAGCAGCATCTGCTGCTGCTGCTGTTCGTGCGGCTCTAGCGCTAGTATATTTGTCCCCTTGTGTTCATCTATTCGGGGCTAAGCAGCAGCAGCATCTGCAGCAGCAGCATCTGCAGCAGCAGCATCTGCAGCAGCAGCATCTGCAGCAACAGCCCTGCAATGTTTATTAGGATGTGATATATTTGAAAATAAATTGGCGCTGGGGTTCGAACCCGCGCGAGTGTGCTGCATCAGCTTAAAAGGAGTAAATATATTTTTATTATTTGTGCTTCGATTGAAGCCTTTATAATAAACTCTAATAATAATAAATATATTATTTTAATAGTATTATTATTGTTGTTATTATTATTACTATTATTATTATTTATTATTATTATTATTATTATTATAACAATACTATGATAATTATTATTACAGCTGGGCTTTAAGGTGCTGAACGAACAAACGCAGAAAATTAAAGATTAAAAAAAAGCAAGTAAATGTTTGTTAAATAAACAAATACTCTTTGATGCTCTTCTCCTGCATCTCAAACAACCATTAATAATAATTAACATATACAGCAACTGTAGCAGCTGCTGCTGCTACAGTTGCTGCTACAGCTGCTGCTGCTGCTGCTGTGTGGGTTATGCCTATTTATCTCCTCATCGGCGCCTCATCAAGGCAGCAGTGCTGCCCCTGCAACAGCAGCAACAGCAACTGCTGCTGCTGCTGCTGCTGCAGAGAAGACTTGAACAGACGAGACTTTCCCTCGCCTGCTGCAGCAGCAGCAGCAGCGGGTTCTATATCCCGCTGCAATGCAGCAACCCCACAGCGCCAGCACCGGCTGCAGCACCAGCAGCAACCGCTGCAGCACGAAAAGCAGCAGCAGCAGCAGCAGCAGCAGCTAGTCGTCGTTTGTGTCTGCCCAGTGAAACCATTTGCGTCTGAGTTTGTCAGCAAAGTGTTTAGGGTTTAGGGTTAGAGAGTAGAAATCATTGTCATCGCGGTGTACAGACACCTCATACACTCTTTTGCTGCCGCAGCGATCGACATACCATTCCTCTCTGCGCAGCAGCTCCCCCAAGCTGCTGCTGCTGCTGCTGCTGCGGCTGCGGAGGTGCAGCAGGAAGGCCTTGGCTGAGTGTTTGAGCCGCTCGGGGAAGGAGTCTGCTGCCGCTGCTGCTGCTTCGGCTTGCTGCAGCTGCTGCTGCTGCAGCTTCTGCTGCTGCTGCCGATCGTAGGTGATTGCAGCAGCAGCAAGCACTCGCGGTTTGCTGCAGCTTCTCTGTGTCTGTACTTCTACATTCTGTATTTGAAATAAAGCTTGACGGAACAAAGCCTCTCTAATGCTGTTGCTAACTGCTGCTGCTCGCTCCTCATACAGGCTCCTGCTGCTGCTGCTGCTGCTGCTGCTGCTGCTGCTGCTGCGGGCTGAAGAGCGGCGAGAAGGAGTTGCGGTGGTGCTGCTGGCTGTGGACAGCAGCAAACGAGGTGTAGCGCTGAACCCCTTAAAAACAAAATCAGGACATCTCAACCGTCCTGCTGCTGCTGCTGCTGCTGCTGGGGCTGGCTGCTGCTGCTCCCCCTGCTGCTGCTGCTGCTGCTGCTGCTGCTGCACCTGAGGCTGCTGCGGCCCGTCAAAGGCAGCTCGAAGCCACTCAGGAGTGCGGCAGGCAGGAAACTCCATCACACAAGATTTGCTGCTGCTGCTGCTGCAGCTGCTGCAACAACAGCTCCTGCAGTTGCTTCTGCTTCTGTTGCAGCTGATCTGTTGCTGCTACACCATGCGCTGCGTGTGTGGCTGCTGCTGCTACTATTCGAGCTGCTGTTGCTGCTGCTGCAGCTGCTGCACGTTCTGATGCTGCTCGTGGTGCTGGTGCTGCTGCTGTTGCTGCAGCTCTTGCTGCAGCAGTAGCAGCAGCAGCAGCAAGCTGGCTGCTGCTCTATAACACACGGAGGGAGGCAGCTGGTAAGGTCTGACAGCAGCAGCAAAAACAAAAAAAAGAAAGACAAACAAAAAAAGAAAACTAAATTATAAAGGAGTTTTAAACGAACGCCAGTTGCATGCATGCATGCATGCAGCAGCAGCAGCAGCTGCTGCTGCTGCTGCTGCTGCTGATGCTTCGGCAACGGCAGCCCCACAAACAAGAAGACACTCCAGAATACGTTTTAGTGTTTCTTCTGTTTAATTTTGTTGCATGCAGAACCCAACTCTCCTCAGGGCTGATCGAACCCCCCGGCAGCAGCAGCAGCAGCAGCAGCAGTAGCAGCAGCAGCAACAGCAGCAGCAGCAGCAGAAGCGCCAAGTCAAACAATCCGAAGCCTTCTGCGTCACGATCTGTCTGCAGCTTTCTGCTGCAGCGCTGGAAGAAGTCTTCTCCTCTCCAGCAGCAGCAGCAGCAGCAAAAACTGCAGCAGCACAAGCAGCAGCGGTAGCAACTGCCGCAGCAGCTATAGCAGCAACAGCAGCAACTGCAGCTGCAGCAGGAGCTGCAGCAGTACACGCAGCAGGAGCAGCAGCAGCAGCCGCGCATTGGCTTGAAGTGCTTCCGGACACAGAGAAAAGATGTTTGGCAGCAGCAACAGCAGCAGCAGCAGCAGCAGCAGCGACAATGGAGCAACGCTGCAGGATGCGCAGCAGCTGCTGAGCTTCATGGTCCTCAGCGTTCTCAACGAGGTATGTTTAGGGTTTAGCGTTTAGGGTTTAGGGTTTAGGGTTTCGAGTGTGTGTTCAGCAAGTTCAGAAGACTTGTTTTGAGGGTTTAGGGTTTAGGGTTTAGGGTTTAGGGTTTAGGGTTTAGGGTTTAGGGTTTGTGTTCAGCAAGTTCAAAAGACTTGTTTCGAGAAGTGTATATCTGGGGCAAAGTTCGGCGACGAGTTGAGTAAAGGGGATCAAGTCTGCCTCGCCAAGTGTATGGACAGAATGTAAGCTGCTGCTGCTGCTCTTGCTGCTGCTGCTGCTGCTGCTGCTGCTAGTGCGCTGCTGCTTATGCTGATACTGCTGCTTCTGGCACTGCTGCTACTGCTGCTGCTGCTGCTGCAAGGGCTGCTGCTGCTCGAGCCGGTGGTGGTGCTGCTGATGTTGTTCGTGCTGCTGCACCCTTGCTGCTGCTGTTGCTACTTTGTTGCTGCTGCTGCTGCTGCTGTTGCTGTTGCTTCTTAGGTATGAATCGCATGCAATCGTAGCGCGGGCAGCAAATGAAATGGCTCAGAACCTCCAGCAAAGCAGCAGCAACAACCTGTAAAAGCAGCAGCAGCAGCAGCAACCTGTCGAAGCAGAAGCAGCAGCAGCAGCAGCAACAACAACCTGTAGAAGCAGCAGCAGCAGCCTATAGAAGCAGCAGCAGCCTGTAGAAGCAGCAGTAACAGCAGCAGCAACCCGTGTTGCTGGTGCTGCTATTGTAGATTTTCTGTTCGTGTGGCGGCTGCAGTCGCCCTTATAGTAAAAACAGCAGCAGCGGCTGCTGCTGCTGCTGCTGCTGCTGGCCTTAGCCCGCAGCTGTATTAGGAGGAGGGGGAGCAGCAGCAACAGCAGCAAGAATGGCAGCAGCAGCAACAACAACAACAGCAGCAGCATCAGCAGCTGCTAGAACTTCAGGTTGGCGTCTTTGAATTGTCTTTGCTGCTGCTGCAGCCCGCTGCTGCAGCTCGCTGCAGCAGCAGCAGCAGCAACAGCGTTTAGTGAGAGGGAGAGCAGCAGAAAGTGATAGGAGACCAACAGGAGAGACAATTAAAAGGAGACGGAGGGCTCAGCGAGTTGCTGCTATTGCTGCTTTGAGCTTTGCTGCTGCTGCTGCTACTTGCTGCTGCAGCGATTGCGTAAGCGCATGCAGCTCTGTTATTCTCTTAGCATGTCTTTGGTGCTGCCGCTCCTCTTCTGCAGCAAACCATCTCCGCTGCTGCTGCTGCAGCTGCTGCTGCAGCGCGTCTTCTGTAGCTCCCACTATCTGCTGCTGCTGCTCGCCTAGAGCAGCAACAGCAGCCAGGACCTCATCCCTACCGTCAGCAACCACAGGCCTAGGGTTTAGGGTTTAGGGTTTAATGTTTAAGGTTTACAGATTAGGGTTTAGGGTTTAGGGCTTGTCTAGGGTTTGAGGGTTTGGGGTTATAGGGAATCGTAGGTGTTAGGGTTTTAGGCTTACGCTTTAGGGTTTAGGGTTTAGGCTTTACTGCTTAGGCTTTTGACTCTAGGGTCTAGGGTTTAGGTTCGAGGGTTTTGGTTCGAGGGTTTAGGGTTTAGAGTTTAGGGTTTAGACTTTCGAGTTAAGGGTTTAGGGTTTAGGGTTTACAGATTAGGGCTTAGGGTTTTGACTGCAGGGTCTACGGCGTACGGTTCAGGGTCGAGGGTTTAGGGTTTAGGGTTTAGGGTTTAGGGTTTGGGGTGTACCTTCTGGCGAAGAAGTGAGCCTTAGGATCTGAATCTTCTACTGCTTCGCTAGCTAGGTATGCTGCTATTTCTTGGCTAGCTGCAGCAGCTAGCTGGCTAGCTGCTAGTTTAATCTGAGTTTCTATCTGTCTAAAGAGGTCTCCTGCTCTATCAGAAGCAAACTTTGCTGCTGCATCTGCATCTGCTTCCAGTGCTGCTGCTGCTGCAGTCAGGGCCTCTGCAAGCGTCTCCTCCTGCTGCAGCAGCAGCAGCAAACGCTGCTGCTGCTCTTGCTGCCAGCTGCTCTCTAACAAATCCCAACGTCCTTCAATAGCAGCAACAGCAGCAGCAACAGCAGCAGCAGCAGCAGACGTCCCGCTGCTCTGAGATGAAACAGAAGCTGCATCACACATAAAAACACAAACCCTAAACCCCATCAACCGTATTACTAGGGTTTAGGGTTTAGGGTTTAGGGTTTAGTAACTAGGGTTTAGGGTTTAGGCGTTTAGGGTTTAGGGTTTAGGGTTTAACGTTTAGGTTAGAGGGTTTAGAGGCGCGGAAGAGCCCTTCACGAGGTCTCCAAACCCTAAACCCTAACTACTAAACCCTAGACTGTAAACCCTAAACCCTAAACCCTAGACTGTAAACCCTAAACCCTAAACCCTAACCTGCATCATCTGTTTGGGCCTCTACTTGTTTTTCTTCTGAAGCAACTGCACTTAACTCTGCTTGCAGCTCTGCGAGTTGCTGCAGCAAACCCTTTCGGCTGGCTTCCATCTTGCGGATCTGCGCGAAACCCTAAACCCTAAACCCTAAACCCTAAGCCCTAGGCGTACACCTAAACCCAACTGCAGCAGCAGCACGCCACCCGGCTTTGCCCTCTTGCGCAGCAACCGCTGAGTTTCTACTCTTTAGGGTCTACAGCCTTCTGCTTAGGGTTTAGGGTTTAGGGTTTAGGGTTTAGGGTTTAGGGTTTAGAACCTCTGCAACTGCCGCCTTTTCTGCTGCTTCTTCGAGCTCAGTTGCTGCAGCCTTGAAGGAGAGCATTCTGTGCTGCAGGTGCTGCGCCCTTTCTTCTAATGCCTTTCTGCACTCAAACCCTAAACCCTAAACCCTAAACCCTAAACCCTAAACCCCCAATTGGAAACCAAATACTTCGCTCGTGCAGCAGCAAGAGCAATAATAATAGTAATGATAAATAAGAGTAGAAATAATAATAATAATAATAATAAATAATAATAATAATAATAATAATATTTGTAGGGGCAGCAGCGGCAACAGTAGCAGACGCAGCAGCAGCAGACGCAGCAGCAGCAGACGCAGCATCAGCAGCAACAGCAACAGCAACAGCAGCAGCAGCAGCAGCAAGTGTACCTGGTGGCAGCTACAAGAGGAGAGAGTGTTTGCACTAGTGCTTCTCTCTGCGGTTGGAGACAGCTGAGGTAATTTAATTCTGCTGTCTCCTTTCCTAGACAATGTCTAACGAGATTAGGAGGTAGACTAAACCATGCTTCAACAGGAGTTTCTCCTTGCTGCTGCTGCTGCTGCTGCTGCTGCTGTTGCTGTTGTTGCTGTTGCTCCTGCTGCTGCTGTTGTTGCTGCTGCTGCTGTTGCTGTTGTTGTTCATGCTGCTGCTGCTGTTGTTGTTGTTGTTCATGCTGCTGCTGCTGCTGCTGCTGCTGCTGTTGCTGCTGTTGCTGCAGGAGTAGGTGCTGCTGTTGCATTTCAAGTTGCTGCTGATGATGCTCTGGGAGGAGGCCTTCAGGGGCATCAGCTATTTCTTTAGGAGACAGAAGAACAAAGTTTAAGTATTTAAGACGCGGGAGCAGAGATAAGAGCCTGCATCTAGCATATTGCGATGAATAGAAAGGGTTGTCTTGAATACAGAGACAGCTGAGAGAAGGTAAAGAGAGAAGGTCGCCTAGAGCAGCAAACTCTGTTATTTTATTGCTGCTCAAACTTAATATCTGTAGCTTCCTGCAGCTGCGCAGACACCTCAGATGCTGCAGCAAATTGCTGCTCAGAGACAGCACAGATAAGCACGGCAGCTCTTGGAGCCCTACTACTTCTGATAACTTGTTAAAAGATAAATCTAAACTCCTCAGCTTCTTCAAGCTTAATAAACTGTCTCCTACACTCTGCAGCAAATTGCTCGTTGCTCGCAGCACTTCAAGCCCTGAGATAAAACAACAAGTCCACTGACACACCAATCTCCTGCTGCTGCTGCTGCTCCTGCTGGTGCTGCTGCTGGTGCTGCTGATGCTGCTGCTGCTGATGCTGCTGCTGCTGATGCTGCTGCTCCTGCTGGTGCTGCTGCTGGTGCTAGTGCTGGTGCTGCTGCTGGTGCTAGTGCTGGTGCAGGTGCTGCTGCTGCTGCTGCTGCTGCTGCTGCTGCTGCTGCTGGTGCTCTTGCTGTCGTTGCCACTTGTCTCCTGCTGTCTCTTCTTCTCTGTCTCTGTCTCTTTGCCTCTCTCTCTTTGTCTCTCTCTCTCTCTCTCTCTGTCTCTCTTTTTATTTGTTTTTGTTTTTATTTGTCTGTCTTTTTATTTGTCTTTGTTTCTGTTCGTCTCTCTCTTCGTTTGTTTTTGTTTTTATTTGTCTATTTCTTTTTGTCTGTCTCTGTTTGTTTATTTGTCTCTCTTTTTATTTATTATATATATATATTTATTTATTTATTTTATTTATTAGTTGATATATTTATTTTATTTGTTCACCGGTAAATGTCTCTAAATTATTTAATTTAATTAAATTGCGGTTGCTGAGATCAAGGTGCTTCACAAAAGGGAAGTCAGCAGGGGTAATAGCAG